TCATGTGAAATCCCTTCTTCGTCAAGAAAGGTATCCACATTTGCGTTCTTGAACTCCGTTCAATTATCGCTGCGAACCTTCTTGATCTTCCCTTCAAAATGATTTTGAGCCTTTCTAACGAAGTTCTTGAAGATCTTTTGGACCTGAGATTTATCATCAAGAAAGAACAGCCACGTAAATCTTGAAAAATCATGGACTATGACTAGGCCAAATGAGTTTCCACCGAGACTTTTATAGGCATTGGGACCAAAAAGATCCATATGAAGCAGCTCAAGCGGTCTTCTCGTGGTCATGATGTTCTTCACGGGGTGCCTTCCTCCAACTTGTTTTCCTGCTTGACAAGCACTGCACAATCTATCCTTGTCAAATATAACATCTTTCACTCCAAGGATATGATCACCTTTAATAAGCTTATCAAGATTCCACATGCCCACATGACCTAACCTTCTATGCCACAACCAACTTTTAGAAGATTTAGCAAGTAAGCAAGTTCTAGGTTGAGCCTTTTTAGTGAAATCAACAATGTATAGATCACCTCTACGTATACCGTTAAAGACCATTTTATGATTATCTCTACGGAACACTTAGCAATGTACTTCAGTAAATAGGACATTGAAGCCAAAGTCAACAAGTCTAGATATGGAAAGTAATTATAGCCAAGGGATTCAACGAGCATAACATTTTGTATGGAGCTATCATGTGAGATGGCCACCTGACCAAGTCCAACCACCTTACCTTTGAGTTGTCACCAAATGTGACATACTTTCGAGGGCCGTTGTTTTCAGCAAGCTCACGAAACATGTCCTTATCTCTGGTCATGTGATTGGTACATCCACTATCAAGAACCCATTCCTTTCCTCCAGCCATGTAGCCGTGAAGATTTGCCATAAGACCAAAATGTCTCATAGACTCATCGAGATCAAAGTCACTATCATCATCCTCATCATAGTATCCATGTTCAACATCGTCTTGTGATTGATCAATTCCTAGAGAGAGTGATTCATTAGATAAGTGATCATCACAATGTTCATCTTTATGAATTCTAATGGCTTCAGAGATGATGTTGCTAATGATTCCAACATCTCTTTTAGCACGCATGAGGTTGGTAAGCTCAAATAAACAATCACCAAACTTAGGATCATTGGAATTCATCTTACTCAAAGCAATAGACTTGTGAAGAATCTCATCTAAGTTTTGCAAGGAATAATTTGGAAATTTTTCCTCAACAAATCTCCATATGGTGTAAGCACAATCAAGAGCAGGCAAGCTAGCAATCAAGTTTCTAGGTAATCCTCTAGTGATTAAATTGACAGTTTTAAGATTACGGATCATGTCAATAGACTCATCAACAGTAGGATACAAGGGGTCAACAAGGCGCACACAAGGAGTAGTAATGTACTTGTTCAAGTGATATTCATTGAAAATCTCAAGCATCTCAGTTTTCCACTCATGAAAGAACTCTCCGTCAAGTATAGGCAATCTACGTCTAAGACTCCCCAACGTAGACTCATCCATCTTCCTCCAATGGTGATTAAACCAAAGCAATGGAGACCAATACTCTAATACCAATTGCAGGATCGAGAAGAGGTGTCTAGAGAGGGGTGATTAGACCCTCAACGAAGAAAAGTAGCAGTTTTTAATTTCTTTAAGTTAAGGCAGAGTTTTAGCACAGGTTTAAACATTCGCAATACATTTCAAGCAAGCATGGCAAGAGTATATGAGCAGCGGAAAGTAAAGCATGCAACTTGCAAGAAAGTAAAGGGATGAGATTGAAGTGTGCAAACGCAATTGGAGACACGGAGATTTTTGGCGTGGTTCTGATAGGTGGTGCTATCGTACATCCACGTTGATGGAGACTTCAACCCACGAAGGGTAACAGTTGCACGAGTCCACGGAGGGCTCCACTCACGAAGGGTCCACGAAGAAGCAACCTTGTCTATCCCACCATGGCCATCGCCCATGAAGGACTTGCCTCACTTGGGTAGATCTTCATGAAGTAGGCGATCTCCTTGCCCTTACAAACTCCTTGGTTCAACTCTACAATCTTGACGGAGGCTCCCAAGTGACACCTAACCAATCTAGGAGACACCGCTCTCCCAAAGGTAATAGATGGTGTGTTGATGATGAACTCCTTGCTCTTGTGCTTTAAATGATAGTTTCCCCAACACTCAACTCTCCCTCATATATTTGGATTTGGTGAAAAGATTATTTGAGTGGAAAGCAACTTGGGGAAGGCTATAGATCAAGATTCTTGTGGTTGGAATGGAATATCTTGGTCTCAACACATGAGTAGGTGGTTCTCTCAGAAAATATATGGTAGAAGTGTAGGCATGTTCTGATAGTTCTCTCCCTGAATGGAGGATGGGTCGAGGGGTATATATAGCCTCCACACAAAATCTAACCATTATACACAATTTACCAAACTCGGTGAGACCGAATATACAAACTCGGTCAGACCGATTCAGTTCAAAATGTGAATGTTAGGCTTTTCGGTGGGACTGATATGATCAACTCGATGGGACCGATTTCATTAGGGTTAGGACATAACATAATCTCAGTGAGACCGATCACATAAACTCGGTAAGACGATTTCTGTAATAGGCAAACTGAGAGTTGGTCAGGCAAACTCGGTGGGACCGATCGCTCATTTCGGTAAGACCGAAACGTTACGAAAAGGAAACAGAGAGTTTGCATTGCGAACTCGGTGGAACCGATCGCTCATATCGGTTAGACCGAAATGTTACGAAGGGAAACAGAGAGTTTGCAATCCCATCTCGGTGAGACCGAGATCCCTATCGGTGAGACCGAACTGATTAGGGTTTCTGGCTATGGCTATGTCAAATGAACTCGATGGCGTCGGATAGATCAAATCGGTGGGGTCGAATTTAACTTTTGGTTTAGGACATATGTGGATATGATAAAGTGGTTGAGAGCTTTTGGAGCATATCACTAAGCATTTTGAGCAAGCAAGCCATTAAGCAACACCTCATCCCCTTTTAATAGTATTGGCTTTTCCTATGGACTCAATGTGATCTTGGGTCACTAAAATGAAAATGTAGAGTCTTGAGCTTTTGCCAATCCTTGTCCTTAGCTTCTTGAAGGGGTTCCACATGCTCTTGTACATGCCACGCCTTTGTTGAACATTCTGAAATATACTAGATAAGAGTATTAGTTCAACAAGAGATATGTTGACATTAATTACCAAAATCACCCACGGAGCACTTGTGCTTTCAAAGGGGAAGCACGACCACATAGCTGGGTCATCTTCCGCCTTCTCGGGGAGCACCACTCTAAACTCCACCTCATTGCCCCCCTTCCCCTTCTCCCCTCCCGCCGTCGCACCTGGAATCGCTCGTACGTCAAGGTGGATATTTGTCGGCGTTACTGGGAGACGGCGACCCCGCACCCTTGGCCCGATGCTCAACTCCCCAATGGGGTGGCATTTGAGCCTGGATCGGTTGCCGGTGTCGGCCATCCCGGCGAGTGGTCATGCCCGCTTCTTGGAGATCAACCGCCGATGGGCACATATCCCGAGTCACCTCCCGGCCGATCGCAGGTATGTCATTTGCTTCCCCCTTGTGAGACACGTGGTTCCAGGACGAGCACGACATGCTTCGGCAAACTTTCTTTGCCGGTCGTACTCATAGCCCGCCACGTGATGCGTGTGCTCCCAACACGGTCTGTGCGCATGCTCCTAGCCCGCCCTGATCGCGTTCTCGTGCGCAGACTAACGCTGGCGCCCTCTCCCTCGGCATCCCTGCCACCACCACCTCCCACCATGACCGCCGAAGAGGCGGAGCGGCTAGTGAGCAGGACAGCCTGGAGGAGATGCTGGCACTGTCGGTCCTTCTCGTCGCCGTCCCTGGTAAGGTCGATCGTCCCGCTCACCAGGGACGACGACGAAGAGGACGGTGGCGCCTGGAGATGGCCACGGCATCAGCGACAGCGGGCAGCAGATCTACCGTTTTTACGTTTATTATTATTTCAACTTAAGTACGGGCAATGACTATCGTGGACTTTTTAATTGAGTTATAATATATTTATGTTTTAAAATATTGTGCGGTGCATTTTTCTTTTTTAAGTCTAAAACAGACATAAAATTTGGGATGCAGCCGCCCAATGGGTATATCTAACAGAGCCGAAAATAGATGATCGTTTTGTTGACCCAAACGAAAAGAATCCCAGACAAAACGGGCCTTTTTTAGGTCGATGGAAGGAGACGTCTCTCTCCTAGACTAGCTGCTAGCTTAGCTGCATCTACGTAAAGAGTCGGCGATCAAAGTGCCTTTTACCCATCATTTCCAATGCCGGTCCGGTCATGGACCACGGAAATCAGTCAAGTCTCGTGACGATGCAGCTAGCTAGAGTGGAGCAGGAAGAGCAAGATGCATATGAGAAAAGAGAAAATTGCACCGCGTTCGCGTTGGGTTGATTGATATTCTGGCATGCTGCATCCAAAGGATTCCATCGCCAAGTGGCCCTTCTTCGTAGTATTCTAAACGCTCTTATATTAATTTATAGAGGAAGTACTCACTAGTTAACAATGTGCTTGCATGATCAACCTTGTAGTTCAATTTAATACAGTACTACTCTCTCCTTTTTAAATATAAGTCTTTTTAAAGATTTTAATACAAACTGTATATATAGATGATAGACATATTTTAAAATATAGATTTATTTCATTTTGCTTCGTATGTACTCCTACTGCAAAAAAGACTTACTAGTACAATCCATAGTACTGTATTAAAGTATATTCCAGAGTCCATACGAAGTTTATATTTTGCTTCCTATTTTAGAGTATAGACATATTTTGCTTCGTATGTACTTTGATATATATTTTTAGAGTAGTTTATATTGGAATCTCTAAAAAAAATTTAGAAAAGGAACAAGAGGCAGTATATGAGTAGTAGTTGCTGTAGCTTGTCATCACTCGTCAGCTTCGGATTCTGCAGGTTGAAGCACACTTGCATGGCGAATTACTACAATCCATTCATAATTAACTAAGCGCACGCGTCGATGCATGTCATGTTGTCTTCTCGGTCATCTTCTTGATCCCCCAACTCCAGCTCCTCGTCGGCGGCGGCGGGGTTGGCGAACCGGAGCCTGAGCCGGCCGCCCTCGCGGGACGCCTGCAGCAGCTCCTTCCCGGGGATCACCACCTGCGTCAGCACGAACCGCCCATCCGCGCGGAACGTCCGGAAGCACACGCACGGCTTCCCGCCGCGCCCGATCGACCGTATCGGCGGCGGGAACGACGGCGGCGAACCCACCAGCCCTGACTCCGCCGCGGCGGCGGCGTCCCTCAGCGTCGCCTCCTCCCTCTCCCTCCCGCGGAGGGCGGCGGCCGCGTCGGCGCCGTCATCCCTGACCATGTCGTCCGAGTCCACCGTGCTCTCGGACCCGAGCCCCTCCGTGCACAGCAGCAGCGACGCCGAGCTCTTCTTCAGGCAGAAGCTCGCGCTCCTCCTGACGCCACCGGCGGCGTCGCCGGCGCTCGCGGGCTTCGGCCTGAGGAGCGCGTCCAGCGACGAGTCGTCATTGCTCTTCTCGGCCTGACTAGCGATGTCGAGCCACGACGCCGCCGTAGCGCGTGCGTCAGGGAGTGGCACCCGTGGCAGGACGGGTCGGGCGGCGCCGCCGTCGGGCTTCCCGTAGAAGTGTAGCTCACCGAAGATCTCGGTGAAGGACGCCGGGTCCACGGCCGGCAGCTGCTTCTTGTGGTGGCTGTGGTTGTTGCAAGCCGACAGCACCTCCAGCAGCGTGGGGTTCTCCGGCAACGGCTTCTCGAACAGCCGCCGCAGCGCGCCGTCCCCCACCGCCGTCGCCATGTGCGCCATCCAACAAGCAGCACTCCTCAGTCAGTCAGACAGACGTAATAAAAAGGCTGCGATATTTTTTGTGACCGTCGAATTTTGCTCAAGTAATCTCCGAGGAAGAGAGGTATATATAGTGAGAGAAAAGGAGAGGCCAGGAAAGGTGGATGCATTTATGTGGCTGTCGAATCGGAATTCGAAAATATGTTTCTTGTTTTTCAGGCTTTTCGTTTCACGAGTGGAGCCGGTATATACTCCTGCTGCAACTTGGGATGAGGAAATGGAAATGTGCATCTTGCACAGTTGTCACTGTTCTTCAGCACTGGCCTGCATAACATGTCAGAGGAAGGGAAATCTGCAGGTAGAGCTAATGCAGCATTGCATTTGCAGCTCGCACAAATTTGATGGTGATCCTGCCCTGGCATCACCGAATTTCTGATAAGGTTGGCATTCCTGTTGGTGAATGAATTCCGGCTCCAACTGGCGCAGGAACGGCTCAAATTCGCACATTCCGCGATGGTTAAAAACCCTGGGAGAAAATGGGGCGATTTTCCCCCGACCAGTGATGCACTTGTCACTGAAAATCGCACTGGTGTCAAGTGCCCCTGGAGACAGGAATCTGTTCCATTCCTAGCTGAACAGGCAGAAAGCTAGGTAGAGGAAAACGCACTGCAATTCCTCTCGCAGTGAGTTTTTGTTTCAGCAATTTCATTTTCTCCGTGAAAACTGGAAAAGAGTTCACGGTGGATTCGACGAACGACAAGGAACGAAGGAGAAAAGGTTAGAATAACTTCTTTTTTTTCTTGTGAAAATCTCGGGACAGATTCAACAAACGAAAAGGATGAAGGGCGGAAGGTGGAATAAAGCTATCTGATGCGATGAGGGGACATCGTGCATACAGCATACCATGGTTGAGACCTCACTTCAGAAAGGTCAGGGTGAGAATAACACATGTTCAGGACGTCCAGAAACTTCCGGGTCCAGGGAGTGAAGAAATGTATGTACAACAAAGGAAGCAAAGGCCACAAATTTACTCATAAGCAAGATACATATAAGTTAGTGAAGGCAGGGGGGGATGAGCCTCAAAACAACATGATGATGATCCAAACACGAAATGATAAGCGCGTCGAAAATTCAAAATGTGCAAGGAAACAACACTGGGTCAGTCATCTATTACACAACAACAAAGGCAGTCGCACCGGGGTTTCTACCTCCACGCTTCGATCCGTTCGACCTTGGAGTTTATCCGGCTCACAATGCTCGTGCCTCTCGATTTTTCAGCTGGAGGGGTGGCGGGCGTTCCGCACTGCCGCTTGCCCTTTCTAGTCCTCCTGCTATTCAGGCCTCGGCTCCCTCTGCTCGGAAGTAAGTTGGCAGCTGTAGCACAGGAAGCATCAGCAATGGCAGACGAAGCGACAAGAGCAGGCTGCGAGCAACTAGCGGACCCCTCCACGCTCGAACGGACATCACTTGTATGGACAACGGAAGCTACCGAATCGCCTTCCACAGGAGGCTTGTCTTCAGCACTGTGTGTAGGACTGTACACGAGAGGCTCCTCGCTGACAAAAGAGGGGCGCCCAGATGTTTCTTCAGGTTGAGGATTAATGGGAAGACTGGGGTTCTGATGGCCATTTTCATCAGATGGGTCCTTCTGTGGCAAAGGGGCATCTTCCAGGTTGGACTCTTCTCTATCCTTGAGGGTCTTCTGTATTAGCATCTTGAGGAAATTCATCACTTGCACCGCATACATCAGTGCAGTCAAAGGGTCTGCCATCTGCTTTACATGAGCGCAAGAGTTAGTATCCACCTAAATGATTGTTGCTAGTTTGCTGTTAGGAGAACGCATTACCTGGGTCATATTTGGAGCGAAAACCATAGCAACATTGCGATCGCTCATCTTGTTTATCTGTTCTTCTTGGACAACATCAGCCATCAAATTAACAGCCCAGTCAAGTAAGGCTGCTTCAGTTGGTGGAAGGCATTTGGCAACCCGAGCACAGTCCTCTTCAGATTGGCATTGCATCACCTGTTCAGGTGGGATAGAATCCAGCACCCCACTCGGCAGTTCCCTAAACCAGGCCTGAACAATTGAAAATATATGCAATGAGTATAACTTTTGTCATCAAGAGTACTGTTTGCAAAACGAAGTTGACTAACTCAAGGACATAAAATTGTGGCGTCAAACCAGTTAATAACACCACATAACTGCACTGAAAAGCAGCATTAGATTCTGCAACAGAATTTTGTTGGACAGAAGAGTCGTAACTTTGGTTTCCCTTTGAAAAAGAAGACTGGTTTCCACTAGAAAGAAAATCTGGACTGACAAGTGTTGAGATAGAATCCGGCTATTGAAGATAAGCATAATCAATAATAAATATGTGAGTGCTGCTGTCAACAGAATGTCGGAATGGCATAAAGCTACATGACAGAAGAAAGCTTACTTTGATTAGACCCGCCAAACAGTGAACATCAATGCCATCCGGCACAGTTCCACTATTTAAGTGATCTCTCACAAACTCTTCCTGGCTATTCTCCGCATTTATACGAAAAATACCCTCTGCCTGCAAAGTAAAAAACAAACAACATGAATGCAGTCAGCACTCAGGAAAAGCTACAGGATGCTTAAAAAATAAGAAAGTTACAGTTAGTTAAAATGCTAAAACATCATACCCGAAGACCTCCTTGTTCATACAGACGTCTTTGCATCATCAAGAGAATCGTCGGAACACTGTTTCCTCTGGTATCATATGAACACTGCATCGATTGTGTTGAAACGCCGAAGACACTAGCACTGCATTTGAAGTTTGAATCAGCTAAAGAACACCAACAGTACAAGGAAGCATGAACTGGAACTAATCATAAACAATGCTCTAAAATACACCTTACATGTAGAAGTAAAGATCACATAGTCACTTAGGTCAAGGCATATTTCGTTTTTTGTTTTTTGTTTTGAAGACAAGTCAAGGCATCTTTTGAAGGAGCATATTTCAGCAATTAAGATGGTCTGTAAGAACATTGATGAATTCTCCCAAGTTATGCGGGAACTCTACATATCGTTGCATGCTTAAAAAATTGGCATCACCATAAAGATGTGGGCAGATTTCACATTATTATTAAGTGCCGGTTTCCTAACTCAAGTGTGTAAGCAATCCAGGAAATAGTTTTCAATTTTCTTTCAAGATCTTTGCACACTCCAGAAGTTTCCCGATTATTGAATGAGCACAACACATATGCTCCAGTTTTGTTGGTTGCAAATTTGCAATCCAGTTTGAACATGGGTTCTAGGTGTTTGTGCCACTTTATCTTCTTTTCAAGGCAAAATGATTCCATCCTTGCACAGAGAACCATTTAGCTTATTCTTTTTAGATTGCCTAGAAATAATAACCACATCCTGGAATTCCCAAGACAAACAATAGACAATATAATACCTACGTGTGTTTATTCTTTCTGCTCTTTTTCTAGTATAACCTCAAGAGGACCACAAAGCAAAAAAAAAAAGTTATTCAAGCCACTAAAGTCTGCAAAACACAACAAACAGATGCAGACAAATGATAATGAGCAAGGTGGCGGAATCATCTAATCAAGACAAAATATGTCCATTCTCCATTGTAAATCATGAAATTCCCAACAGTTCTTCTTTGATCTTTCAACATGACTTAGCGTTTAATAATCTACTTCTTGATATTCCCAGGTCAATCAACTGAATTCCTACAAGTATACAGTGTTCCTTAAAAGGGGTCATTAGCGTGCCATGTAATGCATGTGCAACTGTGCATACAAAAGGTGCATCGGCTAAAGAAATAAAGAGCGGCGATGCAGTAATACAGGCACCATCGAGTACATCTTGCACTGAATGAAAAATACCTTAGTAGTTTAATATTTGTATAGCAAGCATAAGCACTCCTACCAAACAAAGCAAGAGGCGATACAGCTGAGCTGATCCAACAAGAAGTTAGACTTAATAAATGGCATGAGTGTGCCAACTAAGTACTACTACCTTTTGATTTTTCGGAACCCGATTAAAACAACCATGCACTTCACAACACATGGATGTTGGGCAAAAAACGCTTATTTGGTGGGTTTGCTTACAAGTCAAAACATGATTCAAGTTGATGGGAACACTAAAGCAACATGGACAGAATACCACCGCTGCGAAGGACAGGAAAAGAATAAAGTGAACAGAATGGCTGCTGTAACTAAATGTAGAGGCTTTGTGATTTTCAAATTTAATATTTTCTGTTTTTTTTTCTCTACTTACAACTAATGAAGATTCCGTTGCAAGTGTTCTGTTCCATTTCCAGCCTCGTTAAAGTTATGGGTATTAATTTTTTCTTTCTTGATTTTATGAGTAACCCGTTACAGAAAAGCAATGCAACTCTGCCCATAACAGGCATGGAGAGCCATGATTGGCCAATTATTAATGAAACATGGGGAAAACTCAGCACAAACTATTTCTAGACAGAGTGGTGGTTCAAAGCGTGCCCATCATCATAATTCATAAACAGTTTATCTACCATAGATCAACTCCAGCTCAGGCAGCCAAGTACCAGCAAAGGGGGGAAGAAGTCTACGGAGGCACCTAACCCGGTTGTGTGCGTTGGCCTCATATTAATATACACATAACTGAAATGAAATATAAATTCCACCTGAATTTATCTGCCTACCAAGCTTCAGACCAAAAGCACACAGAGGTCGCAATTCCAGCCAACGTACCATCTCTTTATCCCGATTAAAACCACTACCAAAATAGGCAAACAGTAGCATCTAATATAAATGTTGAAAAGTGAAAACTACTTCAGAAATAACAGCGGGAACTGGATGATACTGAATATGCAGAAACATTCTGAGTTCAGAAATACAAGCATGTTTTCGAAGCTTGTGTACCAGCTGATGAAGGAACATGAGAAGAGACAGAGAAGAGAGCGCGACGGACCTAGCACTGGGCGCGCGGCGGGGCACCTCGGGCTCGAACTCGACGGGGAGCCCGAGGAATCCATGGAACCTGTCGAAGGTGACGTGCGCCACGTGCTGCACATCCGTGGGCAGCCCTATCTCCATCCCGCCCTGGCCTTGGCCGCCGTCCTCGGCTCTGCACCGGAGCAGCGACTTCCGCAGCAGCTCGAGAAGCAGCGCCAAGAAGGACCAGCGCTCCTCCTCCTCTTCCTCCTCCTGCAACCCTCCGGCCTGTCGCTCCGCGGATCCTGCAGGGCTCTGGTCGCTGCTGGTGGTGCCTCTCTGGAGCACGTCGCTGTCGGCTAAATAGCGCAGGGAGGTGGAGGAGGAGGAGGAGGAGCCGCGGCTTGCGGGCGAAGCGAGGTTGGTCGGGCCCCGGAACAGCGCCACCTCCGTCATTGCTTCCGCCCCTTTTCCGCCCGAGCCCCCCTTCTTCTTCTCGGGGAATTATTACGGTGCAGCCAGTAATCTGGCGCGGCGTAGGACCAATTCGGCCCGGATATGTGAGCTTTCTTCCTCGATGGTGGTGGTGGTGGTGGAGTGGGCCAAATGCCTGGGATGATTGGATCCTGGTAGTGGAGTTCTTGGTGGCGGGACGCTAATTTAGGATTGATTTCTGCTCCGGTGGCTCTCCATTAGAGATTGCTGGGACGGGGAGGGGACGGGATTTGGGTGCTGCATGCGGCCGCGTGGTCCAAATCCACAGCGGGGCGGGGCGGAACGGAACGGGTATTCTAATCTGGGCTGCGCTGGGGACAAAAAATAAGAAAAGGAATCCAAGTGGATCTGTGATTAGGGAGGGTTTCTTGCTGTGGTGGTGCGTTGGGTGGGTAATGGTGGATAGGATTTGTGTGGAGGTGGAGCTGGAGGTGGAGTTGGAGTTGGATTGAAGGGAGGGTCAGGCCGGGGTCGACGACGACCAAGATGATGATGATGATGATGATGTGAATGTGATCATCATCATCCTTGGTCTCCTCCTGCCTTCACGCGTGCGGTGCGGTTCTTCTCTTCTTTCTGCTATTTATTTACAGTTAGTTATTTATTTAAGCGTGCTATCCAAGAGAGAGACGAGAGCTAAATTAACCCGAGAGTAATGATTTGATGTGATGTGGCCATGAGCAAATTAACTAAGTAACTACCTAGTGTACTTGATTCATTCGACTGACGGACGGACGGACTGTTTGGTTGGTGCCGTGACTATCGCTTTTCGTTGGCAGCACTTTTAGGACTATACATTGTTAGGTCTTTTTACTCTGCACATTGAATTTGCCGAAAGTCAAACTTTGTTAAGTTTGACCAAATTTACATTGGAAATTATTAGCATCTATAATATCTAATAAATATAATATGAAAATATATTCCAAGATGAATCTAATGATATTGGTGTTGTTATGTGAATGTCTATAATTTTTTATACAAACTTGGTTAAAGTTGGATGAGATTGATTTCGGACAAACCTAATATGAAGAGTAAAAAGGACAGGAGGGAGTACTTCGTAGATTTTCGTGCGGGTGGTGCCTTTTGGCAGGTTTGGTATTCACACGTTGAATTGAAGGAACGACCGTGTGTGAGTCGAATGAATTATTTTTGTAAGACACTTTTTCTAGCCGCTGGATTTTCATCCAACAGGCATGATCACAATGCCATTGTTCATCTTCTTCCTCTTATGCCACCGCCCAGCCCTAAGAGCAACTCTAGCAGACCCCGCATCCTCCCAGCCCGCAAAACGTGTTTGCAATTCACACAAAAACGTCTTTGCGGGTCGGCGTGGACGGCCACAGTTGTAGACCCGGCATAATGGATCCGTAAAAAAAGATATTTCGGGAATATCCTTTTTTACGGTAAAAAGGGATATTCCCGAAATATCTTTTTTACGGGTCGGTTTTGCGGCGTCTGATCTGGCGCAGCTCCTTCTGGCCCGCAAAACTTAGATTTACAACTTGAATTGATCTAGCATAACATATTTCTTTGCTTTTGCAACAACATTATATACAAAAGACATCACCAAATCTTTGCTAGAATAGCAAAACCAAAGAAAACAAGAACCACAAGTATGCATTTCAGAAGATTTCCAACTTCCATAACTGCTCCCACAAGTTGGACTAATATCTTCTCCATGCATTCATTGTCAATCTGCGGATTCATGATTTTGCATTCTTCTTTCTTCATCTTTGGTTTGAAAGAAGTAGACGTTGCTTCCCCTCTAGTTGCAGATGCAGCCGCATCATTGCCTTCGATTGTACTAAGGAGTGCACTAACATCTATTAAGTTTCTTTCTATCAACAAATCAATGTATTGGCCTTTCCAAAACCAAAATGAGCATCCATCGTCCTACACAAAAGAATGAGCAAGCTCGAAGTGAGCTACCGTAATTGAACTAAAGAATGAGCTATGAAATGAGCTACCGCAAGTGCACGTACCTCGTGGTTTTCGCATTTGAAGAACACCCATCCGGGGTGCTTCGGCATGTCCGAAGTGAGCCGCAACACTTTTCGCGTGCAGTCGTCGCACTCTGTGAACGGCATCGGCAAGCCACAAAGACGCTGCGCGAGCGCCGAGCCCGATGGACGGCCGGACGAATCCATGCCCACAAACCTTCAGCGGCGGCGGGCAGACAAACCCGTACCTGCATGCGGCGATGCGCCCTTGCCTGGGCTGCGGGAGAGGCTCCCCGATCACTCCATCGCTTGGGGCAGCAACAGGCGGCCGGAAAATGCCAAATACGGCGGCCCGTGATGAAGTGCCGCAGATCTGCAAATCCGGCGGCCCGCCGACGCAGGGGGGGAAGAGATGGGAGGCCTCGTGCGCGTGGCGGCCTTCCGGCGTGCTCCTGCTGGCTGCTTTCACCGAAATCTTGGGCGGCGGCGCGAGGGGGGAGAGGAGAGGTGGTTGGTGGGGGAAAGCGCGGGATGAAATGTCCCCCACCAACCGCTTCCGCTTATATGCAGGGCACCGCATCCGCGAGGGAGAAACCTGCATTTTCCCGGGTTGGGGTCGGGATTTTGCCGCGCCCCCTAAAATTTTTTGCGGGCCGGGCGGGATGCGGGGTCTGATCGGGCTGGTTTTTCCGCCCTGACCCATATTTTGGCGGTTATTTTACGGGTCGGGGCGGGATGCGGGGTCTGCTAGAGTTGCTCTAACAGTCGGCCTCCACCACCCGTGGTTGGTGGCGCTCCCTCGATGGCCTCGCCGCCCTACCCTCCTTTCAATCCCCCACACATACACACAAACACACACAAATCATTATCATGTTGGCCGCTGGCGAAGGCCATCCCTCTAAGACCCCCAACCACCACCACACCTGATCCAATGCTGACAGGCCCCACCCCCACCCCCCGCGCGTGCTTGCACCCGCACTTGTCTCCAACTGTGGCGTCGCTACTCGTTGCCGCTCACAGCGTTGTCCCTTATCTCCGACGAGGTCTTGGCTCGGTCTTGCTGTCGACATCGCAACTCACTGTCGCTTGGCAATTTTTTTCGTCTCGTGCTCTGCGCGACTTCCTTCTTCCTTCGCAGGAAAAATCGAGCTAGAATTGTATTGATTGGAAACTTAAATACATGTGTGAATACATAAACAAACATCGTGTCCCTAGTGAGCCTTTACTAGACTAGCTCGTTGATCAAAGATGGTTAAGGTTTCCTAACCATGGACATGAGTTGTCATTTGATAACGGGATCACATCATTAGGAGAATGATGTGATGGATAAGACCCATCCGTTAGCTTAGCATAATGATTGTTCAGTTTTATTGTTATTGCTTTCTTCATGTCAAATACATATTCCTTCGAGTATGAGATTATGCAACTCCCGGATACCGGAGGAATGCCTTGTGTGCTATCAAATGTCACAGCATAACTGTGTGCTTATAAAGATGCTCTACAAGTAACCCCGACATGTCGGAGTTCTGCCTGTTTTCCTGGACCACCAACCCCGACAACATCTCACGCTCCTCTGAGCCGCTCTTGCCGGCGCGCAATGGCGTGGATCACCGCGTCGACCTAGACTGTGTCTCCCGATTTGCCAGGCCCCTCATTCGCTACCCAGTCTCCATTCATGTCGAGGAGACGGAGGACAACCGCTTCCCACCCACACCGCCGCCCCGCGCGCGGATCCTGATGGTGGCAACAATTCTGACCGTGTCTCTCCTTCGGTTCCTGGTCCGTGGCCGCGGTGGCACGAGCATCCCCCCAGGCGCTCCGGTGGTGCTGCAACCCGGCGCCAGCGACACTCTAGCTCCGGCGGCGGTGCTAGTTTTCGTCGGTGATCGCTCCCGTATCGGGGCTGGCAGGGTGTGCTGGGCCCGCATCCTAGCGTCACCCCACCTGCCGCTCGGGTCCCTCCTGCTCTTCGCCTGACGTGGCCCTGAAGGAAATATGCCCTAGAGGCAATAATAAAGTTATTATTTATTTCCTTATATCATGATAAATGTTTATTATTCATGCTAGAATTGTATTAACCGAAAACATAATACATGTGTGAATACATAGACAAACAGAGTGTCACTAGTATGCCTCTACTTGACTAGCTCGTTAATCAAAGATGGTTATGTTTCCTAACCATGGACAAAGAGTTGTTATTTGATTAACGGGATCACATCATTAGGTGAATGATCTGATTGACATGACCCATTCCATTAGCTTAGCACTCGATCGTTTAGTATGTTGCTATTGCTTTCTTCATGACTTATACATGTTCCTATGACTATGAGATTATGCAACTCCCGTTTGCCAGAGGAACACTTTGTGTGCTACCAAATGTCACAACGTAACTGGGTGATTATAAAGATGCTCTACAGGTGCCTCCAAAGGTACATGTTGGGTTGGCGTATTTCGAGATTAGGATTTGTCACTCCGATTGTCGGAGAGGTATCTCTGGGCCCTCTCGGTAATGCACATCACATAAGCATTACAAGCATTGCAACTAATGAGTTAGTTGTGAGATGATGTATTACGGAACGAGTAAAGAGACTTGCTGGTAACGAGATTGAACTAGGTATTGAGATACCGACGATCGAATCTCGGGCAAGTAACGTACCGATGACAAAGGGAACAACGTATGTTGTTATGCGGTATGACCGATAAAAGATCTTCATAGAATATGTAGGAGCCAATATGAGCATCCAGGTTCCGCTATTGGTTATTGACCGGAGATGTGTCTCGGTCATGTCTACATTGTTCTCGAACCCGTAGGGTCCGCACGCTTAAGGTTTCGATGACAGTTATATTATGAGTTTATGCATTTTGATGTACCGAAGTTTGTTCGGAGTCCCGGATGTGATCACGGACATGACGAGGAGTCTTGAAATGGTCGAGACATAAAGATTGATATATTGGAAGCCTATATTTGGATATCGAAAGTGTCCCGGGTGAAATCGGGATTTTACTGGAGTACCGGGAGGT